TCATGGAGGGTGCTGCAGAGGTCATGGAGGGTGCTGCAGAGGTCATGGAGGGTGCTGCAGAGGTCATGGAGGGGTGCTGCAGAGGTCATGGAGGGGTGCCGCAGAAGTCATGGAGGGTGCTGCAGAGGTCATGGAGGGCACTGCTTTGTGGCTTTGCTCGACAAGGCTTGCTCAGCTGCTTTCTTGAACCCAGGACCACCAGCACCACCCACAGTGAGCTGGGCCTTCACCAATGAATCACTAGTTAAGAAAATACCCTACAGGCTTGCTTTCAGCCTGATCTCATGGAGGCATTTTCCTCTTTTCTCTCTTTGAGACAGGGTTTCTCTGTGTAGCCCTGGCCATCCTGGAACTCACTCTGGAGATCAGGCTGGCCTTGAACTCACAGAGATCCACCTGCCTCTGCCTTCCAAGTGTTGGTATGCACCAATACTGCCAGGTTTTGAGGTATTTTCTTAATTAAGGCTCCCTCCTCTCAGATGACTCTAGCTTGCATCAAGTTGACATAAAACTATCCAGCACAGTTATTACTATTACTATTATTATTATTACAGAGTTAGGAATATAGTTCAGTTGGTAGAACATGCATGAAGCCCAGGGTTCAATTCTCAACACTAAATGAACTGGTCATAGTGGCGCATGCCTGTAACTGAGTGCTCTGGAGGTGGAGGCAGAACAATGAGTTCAAGGACATCCTTGGCTATATCGTGAGTTCAGAGCCAGACTGAGACATAAGACAGCCTGTCTTAAAAAAACAGAATAGTGTGGGACATGGTGGCAGAGTGCCTCTAAACCCAGTACTCAGGAGGCAGAGTTCAAAACTACCAAGGCCTTTAAAAAAACTAGGTTAATAATAATACAAATTAACACAAACCCAGAAAAACTGATCTTGGAAATATTGAACATTGCTGGTGAGAATGGATGGATCCACTGTGCAAAATGGTATGGTTGATTCTTACAAAGTCAAATACAGAATTACTATCTGACCCAGCAATCCCACTTCTGAGCATGCATTTAAATCAACTGAAAGTGGAAATTCAAACACCAATATCACAGCAATTTTATCCATAATAGCCAAAGGGTAGAAACAACCAATGTGTTCATGACATGTGAATCAGTTTTTAAACAGAACCACTTACAAGATTTTTTATTTCTTCCCAGGTCCACATCATTTGCTGTCTTGACACCTTAATCTGCAAAATCCAGGAGAACAGAATATTAGCAAATATATACATATATTTCTATATTCATTTATGAATATGTAAATGGGGAACTGCTCTTTAATGGGCTGTTCTTTAGATGAAAAAAAGAAGAAAGCTTGGGAGAAGAATTACCTGCACACAGTTATTGCCTTGAAACGTGAACGAACTGAATGTCACAGAAGATAACGCTTAATGACAGTTTGGGGCACACTGGGCACTCAGAGGGTGAGGACAGAAGGGTCAAGGTCATTCTAGACTACAAAACAAGTTTGATGCCGGCCTGGGAAACATGTAACTCTTTCTCAAAATAACCAACCACTGCCAGGCAGTGGTGGCACACATCTTTAATTCCAGCACTCGGAAGGCAGAGACAGGTGGATCTCTGTGAGTTTGAGGCCAGCCTGGTCTACAGAGGGAGCTCCAGGACAGGCACCAAAACTACACAGGGAAACACTGACTCAAAAAACAAAACACAAACTGCATTATAGTAAACAAGACAAAGCCTTCAAAAATGAGAGAGCCACTACTAGCAGTAAAAATGTATAGTGGATTTGAACTTTTTGCCACAGAAGAGAGAAGCATGGCAAAAGGAAATATATTCAATATCATTAGTTATTGGAGAAGTTAAAAATAAAACCACGGTTGGGCAGTGGTGGCTCACACCTTTAGTCCCAGCACTTGGGAGGCAGGCAGATCTCTGTGAGTTCAAGGACAGCCTGGTCTCCAGAGCAAGTTCCAGGACAGCCAGGGCTACACAGAGAAACCCTGTCTCAACAAAGCAGACTAGAGTGCGATAGTACTAAACACCTACTAACATGACTTTTTAAAAAATCCCTGGCTGGCTTACAACTCAGAAATCCACCTGCCTCTGTAGGAATTAAAGGTGAGTGCCACCACACCCAGCTTTAGTAATATTTTTCAGAGCTTGACAGCACCAAGTGGCAGGAAGGACATTCAGTCCTGGGTCCTGGTTCCACACTGGCTACCATGTCTATTCTCTGAGCGTTAGCGTCCTCATTTAGGAAGCAATGAGGCTGTCCTGGGGTTCCAGGAATCAAGCACATCTGTGATGGTTAGTCTTCATTGTCTACGTGATTACATTAGGAAACACCTAAGCGGGGGCTGAAGTAATAGCAGTTAGGGCACTCCCTGATCTAATGGAAGATCTGAGTTCCGTTCCCAGTGTCCACTTTCGATGATGGCCCATGACTGTAACTCCAGCTCCAGGGAGCTGATGCCTCTGGCCTCTGAGGACACTTGCACTCACATGCACAGGCCACATGTGCACACATACAGAATCATAATTAAAAAGAATAAAAATAGGGTTGGAGAGATGGTTTAGTAGTTAAGAGACTGGCTGCTCTTTCAGAGGACCTGAGTTCAGTTTCCAGAACCCATATGGTGGCTTTCGACCATCCTAACTCTGGTTCCAGGGGATCTAATGTCCTCTTCTGGCCTCCAGAGGCAATGCATGTACATAACACACAGACATACTTGCAGGCAAAATACCTTTACCATTTTTTTTTTTCCTGAGACAGGGTGAAACTCTCTATGTAAATTAAACTGGCCTCAAATTCACAGAGATCCTCCTACCTCTGTCTCCTAAAGACATTTGCCACTACATGGGGCCATAAAAATTTGAAAATTAAAATAATAATAGTAGTAGTAGTAAAAAAAAATCTTTTTTTAACATTTGAAAAAACAAAAATCACCTAGGAGCTCAACTCAGCTATAGATGTGGATGAGATGGCCTATAAAGGACAATTCGGTCCTGAGGGCGCTGATCTTAATGAATCCAAATGAATGAGTTAATACTTTGATGGAGTCATGATACCACAGTACTATTAGATGGTGGAATTTGGTCTGACGTCTTTTTCTGCTTCCTGGCCATTGAGAACTGAAGGAGCCCACCCAGCCCTGACCACACCTGCCCCAAACCCCTGCCACCATGATGTTCCGCCCAAGTAACATGATCCAAAACAAATCTTCCCTTCAAGTTGTCCTCGGTATTTGGTTACAGTGATGTAAAAGCGATGAAGATGCTTCTGAGAGAAAAAGTAATAATAGACAATCACATGTTTAATTCCATTTAATTCTCTTTGGGATGGGATTGTAAGTGTGCCCTCACACCCAGTGGGTGATGGGATTGTAGGTGTGCCCCCACACCCAGTGGGTGATGGGATTGTAG